GGGGGGGGGGGGGGGGTGCAGCTTCCCAAAATGAAAGAAAGCAGTATTGAATTAGATTTTATAAGTTTAACTAAAAAGAAATATCGGTGAAAATACATTAGTAAACGAAATATTTTTCTAACAAAATTGTTATTACAAAAATAAAATTGTAACTCTTATCAGAGTTGAACTGTTTGTCACATCTTCAAATGTTATCCTTTTTTTTCTTAAAACATTATTTTAAATCAACTACAACATTGAACTTATCATTTCCTCTCCATAACCAGCGTCATTTTCTAATTTCATTTCCAAAGTATTTAAATCATTTTGTCCTTTTAGTGGAAAATCCTTTAATATATCAATATTTTCTTTTTCTTTTTTGTCAAAAAAATCAATAGACAATTTTTCCGAAATAACCTTGACGTTTTTCTTAATATCGTGTATTGTTAATTCTATATTTATTATTTTTCTGATTAGAAAGTGTTTAAAATTTTCTAAAAAAAAAAAAATTTTGACTCATAAATATAAAAATGAAATAAACAATGTTGAAAATAATATATATTATAAATAAAAAAGAAAAATATCACTAAATTGTTATAAGAATTAATAACATTGTAAATATTAAATATATTCTAGGTTGGGTCCCGATGAAAAATTTTTCATGCAAAATTTTGTATGAAATTTGTCCATATATAATTATACATAATTATATATAATTATGTATAATTATATATTAGGTGAAGTAAAAAGTTCTGAGCGTTTTCCGCTAGATGTCTTTAGTGAGCCATATCTCACGATGTATACATCGTGAGATATGGCTCACTAAAGACATCTAGCGGAAAACGCTCAGAACTTTTTACTTCACCTAATATATAATTATACATAATTATATATAATTATGTATAATTATATATTAGGTGAAGTAAAAAGTTCTGAGCGTTTTCCGCTAGATGTCTTTAGTGAGCCATATCTCACGATGTATACATCGTGAGATATGGCTCACTAAAGACATCTAGCGGAAAACGCTCAGAACTTTTTACTTCACCTAATATATAATTATACATAATTATATATAATTATGTATAATTATATATTAGGTGAAGTAAAAAGTTCTGAGCGTTTTCCGCTAGATGTCTTTAGTGAGCCATATCTCACGATGTATACATCGTGAGATATGGCTCACTAAAGACATCTAGCGGAAAACGCTCAGAACTTTTTACTTCACCTAATATATAATTATACATAATTATATATAATTATGTATATATATATATATATATATATATA